GCTGACGGGCCTCGTTCTTGGCTCCTCGGGTCCTTGCTTACTCTATCGTGGCTTTTGCTTCTCTCCGCTCCTCGATCTTCCTCCAGGTTTCATCGGTGATCCACTCTTTCCTCTGAGTGCGCAGCTCACACAGGTTGTTCTCGCTTGTTTCAATAAAGGCATTCTTGATGCTCGTCCACTGCTCTTCTACGCTACCACCTTTTGGAATATTAGCTGCGCGAGCCTCGAGTTCTTCGACGAACGATCTCTTCACTGCTGGGTCTTTCAGTCGGTGTGTGTTGAATCGCCGCCCGAGTCTCTCCTCCCGCCGTTGAACCCGCGCAATGCGTAGGCGGATCTCACCGACCAGGAGATGATGGTCAGATGCGATGTCAGCGCTGCGTTTATTCCAAACATCAAGAAAGCTCCGTCTCTATTTTCGGCTGCTGTAGATGTGGTCGATTTGGAGTTTATGCCCTGGGCGATGGGGGAAGAGCGAACTCCCGATCACCATGTCGTTGTTGCCACAAAACTCTGCAAGCAGCTCGCCGTTCTCGCTCATATCTCCTAGACTATGGCGTCCCATAATGCGCTCATAGTCCGAGTTGAGTTGGAGTCTTATCCACGACAACATTCAGTTGACTGTAAAAGTTCTCTTTGTCCTGCAATTCGGCAGCATCGGTTGGCGCATAACATTGGATTATGGTAAGGTTTCGGACCCGTGTTCTGAATCTGGTTACGATTATTCTCTCATCTATAGGTTCCCACTTGATGAGTGCAGCCTGTGCTTGGGCGCTAAGCGGAAGTCGCGGAGCGTTTACACATCGCATACCAGAATGTAAAAGTACCTGTTCCAAAGGCAGCTTTTGTTCTTCAAAGTTCGGCCAGCGGACTTCACTAAGTCCCAGGATTTCTAGCTTCATACGGTGGGCCTCACTAGTGAGTTGTGCCAGTTTACCCTGTTGGGCTAGCGTCAGTACATTCCATGTTCCAATTCTTGTCCGTTGTTTAGCGCTAAAAGTCGTTGCCATAAAATCAGTTCGTAATCTTTCACTATAGGTTTCTGTAATAATTTGAAGGTTTCGGAGACAGTAGGTGGTTGGCCTAAGGTCTCATATCCGCCGTGATGGGACTGCCATCTTGGGTATAGCTTTCTGGGAGAAGCATTTCGTATTCAGCCGCTGGATGCCAGTCAGACGCTGTTTTAGCCGCCCCTAACATGGAGAACAGACGCTCGGGTTTTGTAGGCCACATCCTCCGAAAAGAATGCAGCGCCCCCTTCCCTGTCAGCATACGACCAAAGTTCCCACCGGGGTTGGTTACCCGATCTTCCCTACGGTTACTCGTATCCCAGCCGGAACGCGGGGAGGAAGGGATAGGAGTTACTGGGCAAGAGGCTAAGGACCACTTTCACTTGCGTTATGGGTCTATTTTATAACCTTCAAGTACGCGAAGTACCGGTGGTACGCATTATCCCAGTCATTTGCCAGCCAACACCGGAGCAAAGGCTGGTTTATAATCTCCAAGCTGTAGAGCATAGTCATTGAATTCCCAATTGGAAACACCGATAGAGTTCACATGTTCCTGAATACTTATGACATCGTTGTGGTCAGGAGGTAAATAGATCACGCCTACACTAATAACTCGACTTGGCGTAGTGATTCTAACCCACAGCTGCTCTAGAGCATCGGAAACAGGTGTCGGATCGATATAACTGTTCCAACGAGTTGAAACAGCAATCAGGAGGCATTAAGGTCTGTACGATAAATCGAAAAGGCATTCCCGAACAGCTGATCACTGTATAAACGGTCATCAAGCCATGTCTCCGTCAATACAATGACGTCATAATCGCACTCCCTAGCGGCCAAAAAGAACGAATCCTGCTTGGTCCGCAGTCCTCGAATATTCTGGTAGTAGATGCGCAGGAGATTAGCTACGTTTACAGCGCTAACTGCAACAGATGCGTTGTCGGCTGATGAAGCCGTGGTAGAAGGTGAAGAGCTGCATACAATACCACTGGAATTCGAACAGATATCAGGAAGAGGAAATCCTACATTAACAAGGTACCGTTCCGATTCAAATTTCGGACACTTTCATTTTTAATTAAATATTACATCCAGTTAGAAACAAAGTAATATTGTTAGATGATCGTGGAGGGCACTAGTCAAAAAAATTTAAAATTTACAAGACATGTGGATCATATTCGACCGAGATAATCAACTTTTAAAAGTGTCCGAAATTCGAGTTTAAGTGTCCGAAATTTGAATCGGCACGGTACTTGCCTACTAGAGCATAGCTTTGCAAAAGACAACTTTAGAATTGAACGTCAAAAACAGGATTTTCCAGTCATCCATAAATTTAACAGATGTGTATAAGGTATTTCAAAATCAAATTGGAATGTTCTTCATGACGAGTCAGGAATTTCAACATCAAATCAACTGGACGAAGTAGACAAAATAGCTAGGATTCAGCCCTTTCGTTCCAACCGCGTTAAAATGGATAAAAGATATACTTTCCAGCAGTGCCAAAAAATGGTTTTCGGATCCATATCAACGAGTAGCAAATGCATTCGAGACGTGGGGCTTCATAACAAAACGAAGTGGGTGAAAAAATAAACTAAAAGCATCCGCCAGCAGAAGAATGCCATTTAGTGTTTTATTCCTCGGAAGCTTCTCTTCCGCTCAAGGTGTGCCAGCAAGACCCAACAGTTCAATCGGCTGCAGGAAAAGGAAACTGGAACTGTGTGGTGGGGAACGAAGACCATGACCAACCATCGCCCAGAGGTCTAGGAGGTGGAAATTCGAAAACGAAAAAGGAACCAGATGTTGCATCCCAGTATAATATGTAGAATAACGGAATTGCTCCGAGGTGGGTACGTCCTACCTACGTGAAAGCAAAAGCAGAAAAAAGCATCCTCCTCTCGAGATGCGATTTGGAGCAAATAAAAATAAAAACTAGCGAATCTACATTTCACACACCCTCACCAACGCTTGGAATCGGTCCAAGGCAAACTCCCGGCTAGTGCTGCTGCCAGATGAGAAGGCGGAAGTTTGCCGGAAACGAATTGATGGATGGGATTATAAACGCTCTAGTGCGCTTTCAATTGTAACCTTTAGTTTTTCACCCGCATTTGATGGCCACTTTTTTATCGAGTTGGTTGGTGATGCCTGAAGGTTGGTCTTTTTTTTATCTCGATGACACATAGGGTAGGAATAATTGAGCTCAAAGAAAAGGGAATCATTAGGTTGTGTGGAATTCATTATTTTCTCGGCTGACTTAAACACGGCAGATTTATTGTTTCCGTGTGAAATGTTGAAAGTGTAATGATTTTCTGATTAATTTTCAATAGTCATGAAATAAATTGCAATTTTTGTGTCGCAAACTTTATGCCTTGCGTGACCGAGGTGATAAATCACAGCATTTTCAGTTTTGGAAAAATTGATTTCATGAAACAAAAAAAAAAAAAAAAACCTCCGAACCAGAAGCTGTTTAAACGCTGCATCCACCATGTTACGGGATTACGTGCGTGAAAGAAGGCGAAAGAACGTAACGCAAAAGTCCCCGGTGCATTCCGTGTGGTCTCATAGTCGCCGTCGGGTGCTCCGATTTTAATCATTGGCGGATGAAGGTAATAATAAATAAATAAATAATTTCGACAACGAGGCGAACGCTACGGAAGAACATGCATACGCACTGAACGGACGACTCTACGGCGATCCAAAGGCGACTTGTTGAAAAATGGCTACCGATTTATTGAACGTGGAGTCATTAAATATATATATGATTTGTTTTATGTCGACAATTGCAAAAGTTCATATTTGTATGGTTGTAATCAATTCATCGGCGATGAAATTGATCTGTTGTATGGATACTACAGGTTTATAGGTGCTGTGATGATGCAGGTATGAAATTAAGATCGTACGCAAACAGTGTCATTGCCGTAAGCTAAATTGCATCTTACCTTAGTGGGTCTGGGTTCAAAACCAGCCGAGTTTGAAAAAAGCTGTCTTCCGGGGAATTTTGAAGAATTCAAACGAAACTTTTTGCGGAAATTTGAAAAAAAAAAAACTTGCAACAAATGTTGGAAGAAACATTTGTGTTCTTACCGGTACCGTTGGAACATCCCTGGATTCGGAATTTGTAGGAATTCACTATTAACACACGTTGGATTCGTAAACCGAACAAAGAAAACTTGACTTTTATTTAGCTCGAATAGGTTTGTGAATAATAACTTTATTCGAAGTGAATGCGCGCACGATCGATAGCTAACTAACTGCCCTGGGTATATATAACGATACACAAGGGTCAGTGTGGTGAATATAAACTCGCGAATTATACCGATCACGGTAGATCGGGCCTAACAGTACCTAACATCTATGTGTTGATAAGGAATACGAAATGATAATAAACGAAATGATAAGAGTGAGGGAGAATAATACTGTTTCGGAAGTGTGGAACATGTTCGGGTTGCCAGTTTAACTGCTTTAGGCTAATCCTAAACATACCGGCCGCCTTGAAATCGTATGGATTTCAATCAAATACTGGACTAACTCTTTCAACCGATCGTGTAATTTCTGTCCAACCGGTTTTCAATGTCTAACTTCTACTTACTATTGGATTGATTTGTTTTGATTTCAAACTTCTTATATACTGCCGATGAACCTACATGATGCGCGATGGCCTGTCTTTCATTAGCTAGAGAACTATTGTTCAAGGGAATAGCAAACTGTCGATAAAAAAAAACTGCTGCTACCAATAGCACACCACAACGATAACGGAGACGACATTGGATGATTATGTGGTTCTTGGACTGGGATGATGAGATGAACTGGATAGCTGTTTCTATGCTGCTTCCTGTAAACACCGCCCATTCCCTCGATAGGGTCGAACGATAGCTACTAACTCGTGAATTGCTCCCTGATGTTGTCCTTCGTCCTTCGTCCTCAGGTGTGAAATGCTGACATCAATCGAAGCTAGAAATGATAGGGTGCTTTTTACCTTGAATTTATGAACAACAACAGAACTTGCCTGGAGCGGAGGCCTCCTGGCCTCCGCGGGTGCCTCAGGCACCGACGACGACGACTAGCTCGTCGTTTCAGCGATTTGAATTGGTCAAATTGGTCATTAGCGGTCTACGATGCTACGACGATGACGACTGTAGACCTCCGATCGGGTTGATCAGGCCCTGTGGATGACTCGTCGGTTGCGACTGTAGCGATGCCGAGCAGTGGTACCAAATGCTCGGATGGAACTTGATGATGATTGGATTGAAAATGTGCTATGACCTTTAGCGAGACTGATTAGTTCTTTGTTAATACGGATTGACGCCACAACGAAGTGCCGGACGGACGATATGGACATCGTCGATAGGACATGCTTGACAATCATATGACGGACCAAAGGATGATTGACGGACCAAAGGATGATTGACGGAATGGAGCAGCTAACGAGACATCTTCCAAATGGCGGGCGTCCCCGAAGGGAGCTGACTCTGGTGGAGAAACATTCCTTGAATTTTTTGAAATATATTATGATACAACTACTTAACTGGAGAGCGGAGGCCTTCATAATGAAGACCCCCGCGGTGCCGAGGCACCATCGTTGGACGAATTTAGCGTTCTTCGTCTATGCATGCGTTATCCTTAATAGGAAGAACGCAGATTTTTGAGATGGCTCGTTTGAACACCCCATCCTTGGTACGGACGTTTACTACTCGGACGTTTCCATCCGAACCGGTATATATTTCTGCGACTCGCCCCAATTTCCACCTTTGTGGGGGCAGGTAATCCTCCTTCACCAGTACCATGGTGCCAATCTTGATATTATCGCGCTTCCTCGTCCACTTGGTTCTGTTATGCATGTCCGAAAGATAGTGGGTCTTCCATTTCCGCCAAAGTTTCTGCACGAAATCTTGAGATTGTTGCCATACTGACAGACGATTTTCCGGTATCTCCTGAAGATCGGGCTCCGGAATAGCTGTCAAAGGTCTTCCGATGAGGAAGTGTCCTGGGGTGAGAGCAGCATAATCATCGGGATCATTGCTGAGAGGAGTTAACGGACGCGAATTCAGGATTGCGGCTACTTGCTGAACGATGGTATGCAGCTGGTCGTAAGTTAGTTGCTGGTTTCCGACAACCTTACGAAAATGACCCTTAAACGATTTTACAGCGGCCTCCCATAACCCGCCGAAATTGGGCGAACGAGCTGGTATGAACTCGAACAGAATACCTTCATCTTCGGCTGTGCGGATTACGGTGTGCTGGAATTGTTGGTCAAGGAAGTGTAGGCGCAACTCTTCCAACTCTCTGTTAGTTCCCACGAAATTAGTGGCATTGTCGCACATGACCACCTGCGGTTTTCCTCGAACTGCGACAAAGCGTTTGAAGGCAGCCAGGAAAGCTTGCGTTGACAAGTCCGCTACAACTTCCATATGGACGGCTTTCGTTGCCAGGCACACGAAAATCGCTACAAAGCATTTTACCGAAGCACTACGACGAACTGGATATTTGATGTAGAACGGGCCACAAAGATCTACACCAACCTTTAGGAATACGGCTGCAGGGTTGACACGAACCGACGGGAGATCGGCCATTAGTTGCTCATGAACAGTTGGTTTACTTCGGAAGCACGTTACGCACTTGTGACACACATTGCGGGACAGATCGCGTGCGTTCGTGGGCCAAAATTTATCTCTCACGGATGCTATCAGAAGCTGTTGGCCAGCATGGAAGTGTTTAAGGTGGTAGTGTTGTAGAACTAACATGGTGAATGGGTGATGGTGATGCAGGATCATTGGGTGCTTGCGACTTTCCGTGATTGGTGCATGAGCAAGCCGACCGCCAACGCAAAGTGTTTTATCAACCAGAATAGGATGTAGTCTAAGAATCTTGGACGAAGTCTTCACCTCCCGCCCGCGAGAAAGGGCTACTACTTCCTCAGGAAAACTGTCCGCTTGAGCTATACGAACTAGAACTTCGGTTGATTCATTTAACTCTTGAAGCTTGATAGGTCCTGAGCGCTTATTGTTGCGATTGTTCGGAGATATGTTGTGGAAGAATCTACGGATGTACGCAACGATTCGGACGAGATCGGTATACGAAGAACGGAGACAGAAAATTTCGTTTGGGGTTTTCGCACGAGCTGGGAGGGCTACGGTGGATCTTTCTTCTAAGAGAGATTGTTCAACGTCTGGTATAGTAGATGAACTGCTAGGCCACGTCGAGCGATCTTGTCGTAACCACAATGGACCTTCAAACCACGCAGTTTCATACTTCAACTGAGCGGGTATCATTCCGCGCGAGATAATGTCCGCTGGATTGTCCGCACCGGCCACATGATTCCATACGCCACTGCTGGTTATATGCTGGATCTCCGAGACACGGTTTGCCACGAAAATTTCCCAGCGAGAAGGTGGAGAGGCTAGCCAATACTTCACGATTGTGGAGTCTGTCCAAAAGAACGGCTGGAATGGAATCTGGATACTACTGCAGACCTTTTCGTACAAATGACTCAACAAGAGCGCTGCGGAAAGCTCAAGTCGGGGTGTGGATAGAACCTTCTTCTTCCGTTTCAAATCATCTAGTGGTGCGACCCTCGACTTGGCAGTGATAAGACGAACGGTTATTTCACCGTTGATAGTGACACATCGAAGGTAAAGACATGCTCCATAAGCAGCGTTAGAAGCGTCACAAAACCCGTGTAGCTCTACCGTGGCTAGACCTTGGGAGAATGAGACCCAGCGTGGTATGGTGAGAGTATCTAATGCTAGAAGATTTCGTCGAAATTCAATCCACGTGTTCTGCAACTCTTCCGGTAGCAGATCATCCCAGTCACACTTCTGCTTCCAAAGAGATTGGAGGAAGATTTTTGCTTGTACAACAACCGGACCAATCAATCCAAGTGGATCGAAAATCTTAGCTGATTCTGACAAGACGGTTCTCTTGGTGATGGGTGCGTCCGATTCGAGCTTGGGAACGGTGAATCGGAAAATATCAGCAGCTGGCTCCCACAGAAAACCAAGAGTTTTGACAGCTGACGATGACGAATCCAATTCAAAGGAAGTTCGTTCGTCCCGAAGTTCACTCGGAACATTGGAGAGTAATTCAGCACTATTCGAGCTCCATTTCCGCAAGATGAAGCCTGCTGAATTTGTCAGATCTATTAGATCTTTCACAAGAGACTTTCCTTCCTCCAAATCATCAGTTCCACTCAATAAATCGTCAACGTAGAAGTCCCTTTTGATTACTTTCGCCGCGGTTGGGTGTGTAACTTCACCTTCTCTTCCCAAGCGTTGAAGGCACTTCGTTGCAAGGTACGGCGCAGAACTAGTTCCATAGGTGACCGTGGTTAATTTGTATGCCTTGACGGAATCGCCGCAAGATAGTCTCCAAAGAATACACTGAAGTAGATGGTCCACAAGGCACACTTTCACCATCCTATACATTTTTGCTACATCTGCAACGAATGCATACCTCCAAAACCGGAAACGTAACGCAATGGCGAGAAGATCGTCTTGAACGACGGGTCCTACCATCAATCCATCGTTCAACGAGATGCCTGTCGATGTGCGACATGAAGCGTCGAACACAACACGAAGCTTTGTCGTTGTACTGTCGGGCTTCAACACAGCATGATGTGGCAAATAGTAGATGGGCTCTTCTCCTTCTGCAACTTCCTCCATATGCCCCATGGACTTATATTCATTGATGAAGTCGAAATACGCCTCCTTCAAGGCAGTGTTGGTTGAGAACCGACGTTCCAGCCCATGGAACCGTTTGAGTGCGTTAGCCTTGGAATCACCCAGCTTCTGAATGACAGCTTCCTTTTTCGGGAGAGTTACTACGAACCTACCAGTTTCGTCTCGTGTGGTAGTGCGTTCGAAAATATCTTCAGACGTTGACTCTTCAACTGACAACGTGCCTCCAGAGTTACAGGACTCGAGTTCCCAAAATTTGGTGAGCAGATCATTTAGATCGGGAGCACCGCAAGGATAGGAAACACTTCGTGGTACTGTTAGTGAGGATCCAGGTATGCGTCCAGACACGACCCAGCCAAACACGGTTTCTTGAAGAGTGGGCCCATCATTAAATAGTTTGATTTTACCATCCTCCAATAAGTCGTAATAGTATTCTGCACCGATGATTAAATCAATCGATCCAGGCTCAAAAAATGTGGGATCCGCTAGCATTAGGTGCTCTGGGATCGCTAGCTGCTGCACATTTACGTATTCGGTGGGTATGTCAGAAGTTAACTTGGGCAGAATGTGCAACTGAATATTCTCCGAATAAGGAGATATTTTGAGCGATCGTGGCATTACGTTTGCGCTCACCATTCTAGTCGAATTCGTAGTAGATCCCCCAATACCAACAATGGACAAATGTTTGGCAGATCCTGCCAGCTTTAGCTTTTGGCAAAGATTCCGTGTAATGAAGCAGTACTCAGAGCACGAATCTAGCAGTGCTCTTGCAAGTTGCACATTCCCATACTGATCCATTATGCGCACCATGGCGGTGGACAACAGAACTTGACGGGATGTAGTGTGAATGCTGACAGGTAGTGAGTTTGTGTTCTGAGAGGGAGTACGATCTGTGGTGGATGGTGGGTGTGAACTTGTGCTTGCGATTGGGAATGAACTTGTATTTGGTCTAGTGTTTTGACTTGGTGTCGTTTGGTTCTGGGCGTGTGGCTGTGTTTGTTGGTTATTCGCTCTTTGTGTTCGAGTTAGTTCTTGTGGCACGGAGGAACCGATCTGCGACGATGCAGCAGCTGGTGCGCCTTCTGAAGATCCTGAATGCAGAAGAGTATGATGCTTCCGCTGACAATGCCGGCATACACCTCTCGTACAAAGACGAACCAGATGCGATGAAGAAAAGCAGTTCAAACACAACCCACACTTCTTCACCTTCTCATATCGTTCAGGCACCTTCATTTTCAAGAATCGCAGGCACTTGAATGCTGAATGCTGAGCTTCCCCACAAAAGGGGCATCGATTAGAAGATTGCATTGACGGATGACTCACAGAAGTCTTCGGTTTTCGGTAGTCGGTGTGGATGGATTTTTCTGGAGCAATTGACTGAAGTACAGAGCATTGATTCCGAAGAAACGATATCAAATCATCGTACTTGGGTACATCTTTAGAACAATGGTGTGATTCCCAGTGACGTAATGTTGTAAGATCGAGTCTGGAACACACCAT